TATACAATATATATATATATATATATATATATATATATATATACATTATTTATATTTCTTCTTACCTGTTGGAAAGACACTGGGTACATTATCTGCATCCCCTGTCACCAGAGATGGTACAATCCAGGTGTAACCATAACCAGTGAGGCCGACAGAATGTGCCACCTCGAAAATGGTCATGGCTTCTTCTTTAGTGCAGTACAGTAGTATAACAGGACTTTGAAGCTTCTTCATCTGGTTCTGGATCTTTGAGTCGCCATCATCTACTGACATGTCCAACAGCAGCACCTCTTCCAGCTCCCAGCCAACAAAACTGTTCTCCACGGTACTCCGGATCTGGATGAAGGCAAAACAGACAAAGAAAGATGAAAAAAGGCATGTCCTGTAACACCCTCCTGCTGCCTCCAGCTCTTTTTGCTTTTGTTCTTTAGATATAAAGAGAAGAGAGAGTTTAAAAAGAAAACTGACAAAAAGACAACGAGAGAGAGAGAGGGAAAGCTACATTTTTATATAAAGGAATAACCACTAATCATAAAAAGTGAAATTCCCATCATGCACCAATCTCTATGATTTGTAAAGAAACAGACCTAACCCACATTTCAAAATGCACAGAACTGCTCTGCTCTGTCTGAGGAGAAATTAAACTGCATTTCCTCATAACAAATTGTTCAAACATGAGTCCACAGAGATGCTTTCCATTATAATCTACTGCAGTCAGAACTAGAGGAAGATGAAATTATCGTACCCACAATTCTGATGATGCATATTTCTGTATCGCCAAATATTTCCAGCCAATTTGACAGACTTGCAAATTGCACTGACAGTATCATTACACACATGCAGTCAAGTGTAGTGTGAGCATCCGGTACCACAGGGGTAAATCTACAAAAATAACTGTGATTGTCCCTAGTACACTGATACTCTGACATTTCAATTCCACTGTACTGAAAGATCACTATATTTATATCTGAGATATTTTAGTTTTATTTATATACTATATAATAATATTAAAGGGGTCATATAATGCGATTTCAAGTTTTCCTTTCTCTTTGGAGTGTTACAAGCCATGAATAGATAAGATCCCTAAAGTTGCAAAGACTAAAGTCTCAAACCCAAAGAGATATTTTTTTTAAAAGTTAAGACTCGTCCAAGCC